CTAGTGTGTGACCATTCAAATGAAAGCTATCGAGCAGTACTTTCATGTAGAACTGTTTGTTATATTATGCTGTACAAGGTGGTTCTAACTTTTCAGTCTGTGGATGAAACCCTAGTGTATAAAGGCTCATGATCAGTTCTTCTTGATCTCAGCATTTTGGGGAATGAAACCTGGATTTATTTTATGATTTGCTCAGATGGAGATGAAATTGTCAACGATTCTTTGATGGTACAGAAAAGGTACCTACAGTCACAACAGACATTCGGCGAAGGTTCGTGGCAGCGTTCGATCCCCTGCGCACGCGCATTGTGTAGTCGAACATGCTGGCGCGAACGAGTTCGGTTCTATTTTTTTCTGGCTGAAAGAAAATGATCCGCAGTCGACTGGAAAACATGCAAAAGAGGATTGTAAAGCCAGTCACGATGAGCGCAAATGAAAGAACAATACTTCTGTTCTCTACATCACTGTCATAGTAACAGGGAACAAATATTATCCATATTACACAGACGGTAAACATAGTGAAACCAATGAGTCGCGTCTCGTTGAAATTTGCCGGCAAATTTCGTGCTCTGTACGCGAGATACGTCGACGGTATAGCAAGCACGGCGGCATACGCCAGTATGATCATGAGCAGTTTGTTCGCCTTCTCGCCGCAGTCAACACTGACGCGCGTATCGTAATAGTGCATGGTGACTTCCGGCGGAAATGACAAGATCCATGGTATGATCGCTACCATGATCGCTAAAGTGAGTAGGACCGCAATTAAGAGCTGCAAGCGAACACCGTAACCAACTTTTCCTGGAAGTGTCTTGTTTTTAAAGATAAGCAAAAGACGCCTGGTTTTCGTCAGCATCAGCGAGGCCCAGAACGTAATAACAAAAGCGAAACAGAACGGCTGCGCCTTGCAAACGATGTCAGTTACCTTGCCTAGGTGTAAGAGAGGAAGCAGGAACATGCAGGCTATCATAAGTAAAATCAGTAACGAATACTCGCGAGTAGAAGCTTTAACAACAGCGCTATTCCGATATCTGTAAAACACGCCAAGAGTGAAAGCTGTACTCAAGAAACCGAGAGCAGAGAAAGCTAGAATCACACTTCCGGCTTTCGAATCCCATTCTAAGTACACTTCCGGCAGCTCCAAGCACCGCGTGTGATTTACATCCGAGGTAAATCCCAAGGGACAAATATCACACTCTGATTGGCCCGTCCTGTTTGTTATTGCTCCAAACGGACATTGAACACACTTCCAACAGCATGGCAAATCACCTTGGACTTTGTAGTGCCCAGGCTCACACGGAGAGCTGCAGCGAGAGTGAGGCACCCTGGGATTCCATCCGTTCCACATGATGTTTGTGGTGTTGTGGAAATTGAGTCTACGCGTGACCCAGTCCCAGCTCCCCAGCGTGATGAACGTCTTGCCGTGCGCGGAGTCTGGGGCGGGTTGTAAACTCTTTACTAAGTAGTGACCTGTTGAAAATAGAGAAAATGGAAACAGAGATGTTTTGTTTTTTATTCCTGAAATCTTATTCCACGGAAATGATTTGGCATCCAATACCCATCTAACGCTTTATTTCTTATATGTTTGTTCCTATTTAACAATTATTCCACGAGCGCGCGTTGGATGTGAGATGATAGATACGAGTCGCGTAACGCCGAGTTGGCTACAATCATCTGATGTCCAACAAGCGCGAGTGGAATAATTGTGTCATTAAAAACGCCCCCAAATTATGGATAACAAAAATACAAATAAAAGTGCCCCAAAAATAACGCGTACACTTGCCATATTGGTGGAGCATGTTCTAATGGCTCAGAACCCATGATGGCTAAGCCAATGAAAACTCTTGATTTGCATTATCCAATGATCCAGTTTTTTAAGATTAAAAATAGCCGAGACCCCAAGGTAAATATTCTTAAATAACTGCCGACATATCTTTCTTTCTCCAGGTTTTGTGTTCTATTTATATTTTCAACTCTCGCGTTCGATGATTGATTTTATCTTGATTATTTATGCTCTCATAACGCTTCTTTGTTTTAAGTGAGACGAGGAGAACAAAAGAAAAAGTTATTAATAACGATTTAAAATTTGACTGCCACAAATTGATTTGAATAATAGCACCAGGTGGGATTTAATCTGATCAATTTGTATACAGTGTTTTTATTATTTTGAATGAAAAATTAAAGAGGCTTTTCCGCTTATCATGTGTTAAACTAGGGGCGGATTCGATCCTTAAATTTGAACAATGTATTCAAGTATTGGAAGAAAAGGTTATGAAATGTTAAGAACAAAATTGTCCCTTGATGGTTGGCCATTTAATATCATGAATTGAAGAGTTTTATGTTTTAATTAAATTGAACAATATATTCGTCCGGTCTCCAACGCTGTTGTGGAGATTTCCCGCTTTTAATGTGGCCTTGAACTTGGGAAGAAGTTAAAATTAAAGCACGGGGAAATTATTGTTTGCTTCTCGTTTCTTGTTAGATTTTTTGTCAAAAATACGCCTTACAGAATGAAAACAGGAGATAAAATGGCAGGCATGATTAACAAATAATACAGTCGTCTGAGAGAAAGGCAAAAAATATCAAAAAGTCGATAGCAGGATAATTTGTCGAATAAAATCTTGTTGATCGGCTGTGTTGTGTCGATTTTGTTTTCCTTTTTTTTTTGAACGAAAATTGTAATATGATGCGGTTCAAGGAATTAAATCTACCTCCATTGTGTTTGTCTGAGCTTCAACAGTTTGGAGAATTTCATTTTCAAATAGAAAGAGTTATTGCTTGGTTTCATTAAACTGGACTTAAAAATGCTAAGTTTAATTTTCTGTTATCTTCTTGGCTATTGTTACAATGAAGCCTTAATGAGATTCGGAATGAGGTTATATGTCTCCTAAATGTCAGTAGAATTTGCAATATTTGTACAACATGGCGTTTTTAAGCTGTTAAAAGTAACTCATTCGCTCGCTCCTGGCATGTTTAAGCAAGTAGTTATCGAGCGAAAAGCCGCTTAAAAACGTTTCTAATAATATTCAAGTTTTTTTTCTCCTGATGAAACGTTTTCAAAGACGGTCTTGTAAATGTTGATTATTTTTGAATAAACAGTAAGGAATAATTCACACACCTTTGATATCGCCGTACTTGTCAAAAACAATTGGGAAACCAAGTTTACCAGTAAATGACAAATTCTTGATATAAGTCAAAATATCCGACGGCTTCACTCCATTTTTCACGCTGGGACAAGCCCCATTTTCAAGAAGACCGCGTCCGTTTTTGCATTTGATTACATCGTCGAGCGCCAAAGCAACGGAATAAACTGCATCCATGACATTCGCTGCTTTGTTCAATTCCAATCTCGCAGCATTCGGCAGTCGCGTGCCGCTCGAAAACCCATTGCAGCTGACGCGATACAGCGAGCAGTTTTGTTGATTTTCTTCCTTGTTCTTGGATGAACTTCCTTCGCAATTGTTTTTTGTTCTTTCTTTACGGCATCCGTACGTTCCTTGCCAGAAATCCTCAAACCAAGGATTATGTTCGGTGTTCAAAGGTGTTAAATGCGCCATATGTTGTTCAAATTTTTCAATGTTCCCTTTGCTTGGCACAATGCCTAACATCCCACCAACTGTTGAATCTTTGAAAGATAAGATTGAATTTTTATCACCCCATGAATCTGTCCCAATCCAGGTTTTTCCCGCTAGGTTTTGTTTTTCCGCCTCTTCTAAGAACGCAAGCGCGTTTGGGATCTCGCAGAAGAGCACAACAACCTTTGCGAGTTTGTCCTCTTTCAGCGCGCTAACAATGCGCGCGATTTGATCCTTCGTCTCGGCTAGCGTGTAGTCGGGGTGGAAAAGCTCATCGACGGAAATACAAACATTTCTCGTCTTTATTTCTCGTTTAAATGCTTCAATGCCTAATCGCCCGTAATCTTCGTCAGTCGCTATTGTCGAGACATAACTCCAGTTGAAAAAAGTCACCAAGTCTGCCATGACTTGTGCTTGGACATAATCTGGAGGGATGGTACGTAAAAAGGATGGAAAGTTCGCCTTATCACTAAGTGAGGGACTCGTGGAAGAGTAACTGATCTGCGGTATGGACGTCACTCCTAACACATAGGCTGCCGCTTTCGATATTTTTGAACCAGCTCCTCCAATTACAGCGACAACGGAAGAATTTGCACATGTTCTGTTGGTGCCAAAGTCTTCCTCATGCATCGCTCGTCCCTCTGTCGAAGAGAAGTCCAATGCATTGCTCATAGCGAACTGGACTTCATTCGCGCTGTCCCGTATATCGTATCCCAGTGTAACATTCGTCAGAATGTTTGTGTTGTTGTTAATTTCCTCAATTGCAAACAACATGGCTTCAACCCACATCAATCCAAAAACGTTCATTCGATAGCAACTGACCGCCTTTCCGCGGAGAGATGTGAAGTACTGAAATCGCTTGTTATCGCTCTGACATTTCGTTGCGTTCTTCTCGCTCAAAAACACGGGGAAAGATCCGCCGATGATGTAATCGGCGTTCAAATCTTGCGTCCTTTTGGGCCATTTTAAACTCGAACTTTGCACACACGAGGCATAAATAAGTAGATGTACCCCAAGCAAGCTTAAAACAGTTGTAAAGCAGCGAAATTTTATAGAGTTCCTTTGAA